CTACGTTAACTTTTTAAGGGCGCATCGGTGGCATCGCGGACAAGAGAGGGATACTTTTGCTATTATTGATACATAGAATCGGCGTAGCTATAGAGACCCCCGATGGAAACAGAACGGAGTTAATGACGGCGAATGCGAATCGATATTACGCGCTTTCCGTGTCGTTTGACGACGAGGTTCTGCATTTTGCAGAGCTCGTGGATAGTAATATGGTATAGGGAGGTAGGGCGTCAATTAAAAGCTGTTTTCATCGATTGCGCGACCGGCCGTCTGATAATAATGCGATGCGCTGCTCGGATCGGCTGTTGCGATAAATTAAATGCGCGCGCTTCGTGACGACAATCGCGCTTTTCTTTATTGTTATTATTATTTTTTTTAAATGCATTATCGTGCGCATCCGTCGTTATATGTTTCAAAATGCACGCTTTATCTTTTTCACGTGGCTTAGTTAGTGCATGGTATACGCGATGCAATCTAATCACGGCCGTCTTATCCACCGCTGTGCATTACAATACGGAGAACGGTCCGGCATCAATTTCTCTCTCAACTCGCCACTGACGTGTTAATTCCTCCTTCTCTTCTATCGCTGGCGATTTAATATGAATAGCGATCTAATATTAACGCGCGTCTTGAATGGCTTTAATATAAAAAGATAAACAAATATTTCTTTCATACACATGGCGTGTGTCTATCTACATGAAAAATTTATAAAAATATGAACGATATATTTAATTCGATCCAAACTAGTCAAGAAAATTTTTATTTTATTTCTACAACGTTTCGACCATCTGTTTTTGGTCCTTTTCAAGTTAAAAATTCCTTGATAAAAGCGCAGTTAGTTGACACTGTTGTCATGATTATTACACAATGTGATTATCGGACTTTTTTAAAAACACTTGAAATAACTTTGAAAGAACTTTTGAAAGAAAGTAACCGCATCTTATCGTTATGATGGATCGTCAAAAAACATAATAATCATGACAACAGTGTCAACTAACTGCGCTTTTATCAAAAAATTTTTCACTTAAAAAGGACCAAAAACAGATGGTCGAAACGTTGTGAAAATAAAATAAAAATTTTCTTGGCTAGTTTGAGTCGAATTAAATATATCGTTTCCTATTTTAAATACCACTAGCGACGTTTTAAGTATTCAATTTGATTCTATAAAAATATATTCCTAAGATCCTAATTATATTTTTTTTATGAACGGCAGAAATATTTTTTACGTGATACCCCATAAATCTTATTTAATAATTCTAAAAACTTCGCATCGTAATTTTTTGTATACATCGCAAAATTAATAATACCTATACATATAATTTTTGAAATAATAATCGACGAATGATGATCAATCTACTTTCACCTTTATATTTCCCAAAAGCTTAAAAATGGATCCTCATTTCTCTCGTACCGCTTTGTGCTTCTTCGAAAGATTTTGATTCTCGAAAAAGAATCACCGCTATCTCCATTAAAGACGTACGTATCCGATGACGCTTATTCGACTATTCTAAACATTATCACGCAGGTGAGTCACGTCGGCCGCAGCGGCTACCAAGGTGAAACGTTTCCACGAACTCGACGACGATTTCTCAGCGAAAATTCAACCGGCCTATCAGAAATCTTATTGTTGATCATAGATAATTGTGCGAGCACGTGCCGTGATAGTGTTGCGCGATGCACATGTGCATGCGTTCCGGGATATGCGTGCGCAAGTGGTACGCACTACGCCTAATCTTACGCAGAGGCGAGAGAAGTTGCAGGGATGCACTGAAAGAGAGAGAGAAAGAGAGGATCCGGAAAGGAATGAGATAAGAGAGAGAGAGAGAGAGAGAGAGAGAGGAACGGAGATGAGATGAACGGAAAACAAGATAGAGCAGAATCAGCGTGGCGAACATCTGCGTGTCGTCGGACACGTCCCGCGGCTAATAAATCGCCACTTATCGATCGCCGCTTGTCGTTACGCAATAAGATGCATTAGCATAAGACCGCTGAGAAATCTATCTACTGGTGCACACATTTTTTCGCGTCTCCGCCGGCTCGCTGGCTGCCTCTCGTCGTCATCCTACCAGCAAATCTTTTTTTTATATAGGCGGTTTTTTTTTGTTATAGTTACACGCGATAAAAAAGAATACAGATAATTCAGTCGAGAGAAAGAGCATGTAAATATATTTATTTAATCGCATGTGTCTTTTAATTAATTTTATATAATATTCTATATTGTGTACATCTTTATATAAAATTTGATGATTTATGAAAGACTTTATTTATCGTATAATTATTATATTTTTATGTAATGTTACATTTCCTCTTATCTCTTAACTTTTTATTATTTTTATCTATTTTTCACAGAGATAGTGGTAGAATTATTATACTTATATTTCATGCTCTTTTAAAATAACTTTAGTGTATTATTCAATATTGACACTTTGCTAACGAGAACGAAGAAAAGTACTGCGTGTCATCCACGTGTCGAGTGGCGAGCAGGGTCAAAGTGCAAGACGCAATTACACACTCTATCTTTATCGCATCTCGTGAATCATCTCGATCATTATATCGTCTTTCGACATCGTGCACGTTATCTAGGTTTTTAGGTCTTTCTCTCTCTCTTCCTTTTCCCTCCTCTGTCTCTCTCTTTCTCTTTCTCTCTCTTCGTCTTTTTTGCCGATTCTTCATTATATTCATTATATTTTCTCCACTCGTGAACTACGTACTATAACATGTGCATGCATTACTTCATCGATAAGAGACTCTCTAATATAGCTGCACTTGTACTTGGACATTGCGTATATACAGAAGCAATGAGAAAGTGACGAAGAAAAAAAATACGTAGATGAATAGGTGTAGTTGCGCAAAATTAAATTAATTCGATATCGAAATATTATCTTGTTGACATAAAGTAATGTTTATTATTTGACATATAACCTTAATTTTCATTATATACATATTATGTTAGTAAAGAAAAATGCAATAATCACTCTAGTTACTGAGTATTTCATTTTCATAGTAGTGTTCCATGTATACTGTAATATTCCGTAAGTGCATTTTTTGTAATCTCATAGATCTATAAAGATGTAAATTATCATATTTATTAACTTGCGAACTGTCAAAATTTTTTATTGAATTTTTAACACAAAATCAATAAAGCAGCGAAGAAAGGACATTATATTATATGCAACTTGCATTCGATAATTGATATTTATCAAGAAATGTTAACAAATTGAGAAAACAATTTATTTTTAAGTTGATAAGACGCCACGCATTCTTAAACATAGTTTAATATATCTGTGATATCGTTTTGAAACCGTTGCGATCATCGAGAACACAAACCTAGCATTGTCCGATCATCATAGAAAATTATCGCGACCTGTCAAAACATATCTTGGCTTGCGCATTATCGATCTCTTTTCAAGACGAGCGAGTGGGTCAGCCGTGATCGTGTGACACAGCGAATATGCGGGAGGGCCAGACTCGGATCGCGTTGCAGCGTCGTATAAACATTGATCGAGGTTATTTCGTAGAAGGCTATCGGTTTACTTTTCTTCCTCTATTAAAATTCCATAATAATTTATGGCAATTACAGATTTTTAAATTTATTTTTTGACGTGTGTAGTCTGACATGTGGAATTAAGAGATAGCGTCGATATATCTCATGTATTGAGCTAATTTAATTTAAAATACAAAATATGCAGAAAAGCTATTTCAATTTATATTATAAAATGTTAAATATTTCAAGGTGGCAATAAATTACTCGTTGTCACACAAAGATATTCGGCCTTCATGTGCCGCGTATTATTGTTGACATACTCGCTCAACCTGTCATCATTCTGACGGTAAAATTCGATTAGTAAGATTGTTGTTTTCGTCAGATTATTCTTCGAGAAACGATTATTTCCTATATTTACAATCAGTGTAAGACGTAGGCGTATCAAAACAATCGTAATTAATCGTATTTTCGATAGTGTCAAGACATTATCTTGCTCGAAATTATTGTTGATATCTTCACTCATTGACTTATAATTCTCACTCGAAACGAAATATTAATTCACAGTCGTACAAAGTATCGTGCGTCCGTTTTCATTGTGATTCATGAATGATTCGTTGTGTTTTAATTAGTTTGGGAGCGCCATGCAGAATATGTCGTGTCTTAATTTATTTGATAACGCTATGTATAAAATGTTATGTGTCTGAATCCGGAAGTGTCATGCAGAGCGTCTATTCTTATAATGTCCCATAATGAATAATGCTAAACTGTAATAAATTATATTTCCGCGAGTGAATGCAATAAATTAGAGTAAGTGCAATAAATCCTGTAGCTTAAGAAGAGAAAAAAGCCATCAGGTAATGACAGAGTTAATTTATTTTATTTATATATTATTTATATGTATCTTGCTCATTTATTCTCGTTTATTTGAGTTTAAATAATTAAAGAAAAAACTTTTATATGTATGATATATTTTATTATATTATAAATCTTGTGTTAAGAAATATGGTTTTTCTTCAGAAATTATATAATTATTTTTTATTATTTATTATTTTATGTAAATATAAAATTTGAAAATTATTTCAAGCGGTATAATAGCTGATTATACCGCGCAAAATTGGCGAATAATTTCTTATGATTATTACAGAGAATGATTAATCTACTTTTGATAAACGGCACGTAATTGTATCGCGATCATCATGATATATTTTTATCGAAGCGCATATTTCTCGTGATTTATTCATTTATTATTGCATATAGGAATTGAAACGATAAGGATAAAATTTATAAATTATTATTTTGTTAATTTTTACGGACAGTATTATGTCTCTAACTTGAAGTCCAATACTTATATTTTAATATTTTATTTTTTGTCGATCTAAATATAATTTATTATTAAGATACGAATCGCAGGATTGAGTAATTAATGTAATGATATATTAATAGTTTAATTAATAATTAATCTATAATTAAATTATAAAAAAACTTAAGAGAGGTATCAGCCATTAGCAATCCTTGGATGAGTAATTTATTATTTATATTTTAGTCATGTATTAATCGTATAATTGTAAGACTTGAATTGTATGATTAATCACGTAATTTAATTTGCTTATCTATATATAAATAATTTAAACAAGAGAGAATTAGAGAAAAAAATATCTTATTTAAAAACTATAATCTTGTAAAATTTTTTACTTAATTAAAAATAGAATAATCTTTCCGGAATTTATAAAATTAGTTCATCTGTTCATTATTGTAAGCATCAAATAAAATTTAAAGCATACAATAATAATTTTTTTAAATATTAATTATTTTGAACGCTGTTACAATTTATATACTATTTATATATGTTACAGATCAATGTAGCTTTAATGTCTCAATCAACTTCGCTGTTGCACATCAATTGGTGAGTGACAAACTTTTATTTTATTTTATGGATTTGTAGAAATTATAGATAAATTAATTGTTTTAAAACGATGGGCTTTAACAAATGATCAAATAAACTTTAATAAATTCAACAGATTAAATTGATAATTTTTACAATATCCTTTTTCATATATGTATATTGAAAAAGTAAAATAGAATATAAATTTAAAAAATATATAAAAAGCATTTTTTCAATTAATTAATTTTATTTGGTTTATTTGTAAAAATTAATTTATTTTTGAAAAATGTGCTTTTGATTTTATTAATTGTACATAATGGTAATAATTCATTTATAACGCACGTCGATTTTATTCTGATTTTTTATAGCCCATCTGTCTGTATTCTGAAATTTTAGAAATATAATTGTGCTTTAAATTTATGCAAAGTCAAATTATTAATAAAGTTAATTACATGTAATGTAATAATAAATAATGAATGTTTAATTAATTTTACATTATTAATAAATATATTTACACATATACATGTATGTATATTTTAGTCTAAATTATATTACTATAAACATTTTAATGAATTAATTGTGACTGATAACTTGGCTCTGTATCAGTTAAAGCAAAGTTATATTAAAATGAATGTCCAACGAACGATATGAAAGCGTAAAATATTTACGTTCATGTATTTGCTGGCCATGATATTTAGCCGGTAATAATTGGTTTAAAGAAGGAGTTTCTTTCCTTTTTCAATCTCTAATAGAGATTAAAGAGACATAGTCACATAAATATTGTTAGGGTCAATAATGAATTAATCTAATACGATCGAAGAATCAAAACTTTACGTATAAAATGTTGTTTTGCGTACTAATGGCAAAACTTATGGCTAATCTTCTGGTACGGTTTGCTACACAAGGCCGTGGACTCTGACTCAGCCAGAACAGCTGTTTGTCATAAAGTGCGCGAAAGATATCCGAGTCCTGCCTTAGATAGCGATTTCCTGCTGACCTCGCTGCACCAGCATGTGCAATTAATGGCTCTCGGTGATAGGCGACTACGACGCGGTTTTCGATTTTGCGTAATTATCATATCTTTGTCGCAGGAATGCCAAATCTTGTGCACGCATAAAACACTCGGTAATAGAATAGAAGTGCGTCAATTGCATATCATATGAATTATTTAAAAATGAAAAAGTCAGCTGAATTGAAGCATGGTAAATTTATAGCAACTTTCTCTCCATACATGTACGTATTTAAATTTGATCCGACAAGTGTGTGTGTGTGTGTGTGTGTGTGTGTGTTGACTGTGGGAAAATAGCGGCAAGATAGCCAGCTAATGATAAAAGTTGACACGTTAAACCAATCATGTAATTATTCCAGGCTTACACAAAGTTTAATTGTCACTGGTCATTGCTATGTGGGAATATTATCGTATTTAAATATACGTATTAATTGCGCCGTGCAATTGTAACTGATGAAAGTACAAATATTAGTGGGACAGCGCTTCCGCACGACATTCGAATATATTATGGTGCATGTAAATGCAAAGTACCTGCCGATTCGTTTGTTAATGAGGACAGAATTTAAATTGCGCGTTAACATCAAAAGCGCATGATTAACCTCGCTCGTACATCATTACGTATTTCGTGATCGTAAAAGCTATATAGCACACAGTAGATATTTCATGCTATTTAAATAAATCTGAAATAGTGCCAAATTGTATCAAGTTTAATAAACTTATTTGTTTTATTTCAAAAAAACCGCATCGATATAAATTACATATTTTTTTTAATTAAAACTAAATTTTTGTGATAGAAGAGAAATTTCTCCGATTTTCTAAATAAGCATCTTTTAATTTCCCATTCGCATGATTAAAAAAAATAGTACTGCACAGCAATAACCAATCGACATATATGCTAGAGCCGCGCGTTCGAATGTTTCATAGAGTCAGCGATGATCGAGAAGCAAGCAAAAAGAGAGAGATCGAAAAACAATTTTCCACGTTCGAGATCTCGCAATTGTGCAGAGCCGTGAAAATGTCCGAGTCACGCTAATCGCGTATCGTCCACATCGCGAGGACCTGATTCCGCAAAGCGTTAATAAAACGCGAAATCTCGAAAAAGGCACCGCGTAAAAAGCGCTCGCGCGATCCGACTTCCCACATATTATATCTCTCGCGAGGCTGACAAAACTTCCGAATCGATTTTTACGCGACGTATACGCGCAACATGACGCGTACGAAGGACGTGACGACGGGGAACGGCGACGTCGTCGTCGTCGCGCCCGCGAAGAAGTCCTTGGTCCGCGTCGGGAGGTATCAGATGCTGGGGCCCCTCGGCAAAGGGAATTTCGCGCGAGTCGAAGAGGCCATCCACACCGTCCTCGGAGTCAAGGTGAGTGTGATAAACACGAATCGCCGCCGGGTGCGAGCGACGGCCCGTGAGTCCTCGTACATACAACCTCGACGCGACTCTTCACTCGCACGAGAGAGGCGAAAGCTTGCTCCCTCGCGAGACCGACATAAATCGTTCGTTCCGACGCGCGGAACGTAACGCGATCGTGAGAACGAAGCGTCAGGGAGATGCTCCATCTTTTTACAAACCGAATGTGTCTTTCCGCGTAAAACTGTCTCTAATTCTCTGTCAGCAAACTGGGTCTCTCTCAACTTCACCCTATATATAGGTATTATTTTTATGTTCTAGATTTTCAAAACATTTTTTTAAATTCTCGATTATTTCTCAATATCTCTATTATAATATCTAATAAATTTTGAAGCCAAATATTAAACCTAATTGTTTGTATAAAGCAAAATTTGAATAGTAATTTGAAAAAATGCAAAGCCTGTGCCTTTAAAGACCTAGATTGTTGAGAAGGACTAGGATTGATTGCAAGGATCTAAAATAATTTTTTTTACACTTAGTGTGAAATGGAAATAATAATTTTGCGCGATGATGTTACCACGCGAAGGATTTAATTTCTTTGTAGCGCTACGCACACGCAGGATTCTTATTAATTATTGTAAAACGCATTTTGTTTACTTCACGGACTTTACTCAACGGTGTGAATTTATGTCTTTCGCGAATTATCCGTGAACTTCGACATACATAAATCTATCTTTTCCACGTGTATTCTTCTTGAAGAGATAATTTTTTTAAGTGACCGCAGTTATATTTAAATTGCGCATAAATTGCAAACATTAGTTTGCATAATGAACCGTCTCAATACTTAACTCGTGTAAAATCTCTCGTCGACATACGCATGATATTTCAATGAATAATCCTGATATTATGTAACGTGTGTTCCTCTCTCTCTTCTCTCTCTCTCTCTCTCTCTCTCTCTTTCTCTCTCTTTGTCACAATATTGCTCCGTTTTTTAATTTTATCGCGGAGAGAAGAATTATTTCTGGCTTACGTCAGATTATCAAGCGGCTTGGCTCGCCTTTTTGTTGAATTAATCACGCCACGATGCGCATCAGATGTATTTCCGGCACGGACATTGAATCATTCGTCTGGAATCTCACGTAAATGAAAGAGAGACCTCATCCCTCTCCCAAAAAAAACTAAAGTAAAATGCCGCAGTTATATAGCGCTTTGAAGAGACTAAAAAATTCACGACATTATATAGTTGCTTTTCCATTCGATCTTTGAATTTTTCATGGGGTTTTCTCGTAACAATTCCTGAACACGAAAATCACATAGATTTGAACGTCTGACATTGTCTGACAGATACGCACGATGTCACGCGATGAAAGACGAGCGTCAGATTTCCGAATGTTTCCTTCTTTTTTGTGCCATCTCAAATACCTACCGGCGGGATTTCTCCTATGCGCGTGAGAACCTTTCTATTAAAATATTCTTCTCGAAAGATTATCTGATGCTCGATCGATCGAGGAAATCATGGAATCCAGACTATGTCGTTTGAGAGAAATTTAATTCTTGATTTATTTCACAATGAATCGATGAAATGGATAGTTTATTTCCTAAACGAATAAGTACCTCAAAGTAAATCGTGATAATCGATCTCTCATGATCGAGACGATTAATTTATGGTTCATTGATTTTCGATCTTTGATAATCTTGAGAATCTTGAGAATCTTAATTGGAAATTCACTTTGACTTAACTGATAAATAAAATACAGCTATATCTTTAATTCGTGAAAATTTTTAAATTTTTGATATCAGGATTTTATGTAAAATTTCCAACTCGTATTAATCTACACAGAGAGAATTTTCTCTTAAAATTTATCTTGAAAATCAAGGTAATTGTAGGACAATTGGTATTGGAAGAATTTTATAAGACTTTCTTCCAATACCATATAATTTTCAGGGTAAATTCTAAGAGAAAATTCTCTTCGCGTATATAAATACATATTTGTAAAATTTTAACACGTTTCATCATAAAAATCATTACGCAAAAAAAAAAAAAAAAAAAAAATATCTCTGAATAATAAATTCAGGGACATTTTCTCAAAAGCTTTCCTTTATCATCACGATGACGTATCGTCTTCGCGATATACCGTAATTTTTTCTGCCTCGTTTTTTTTTTGTAAAAAAAAGCGTATTATAGAGATGACTAAAGATGTACAGAGTATATTTCGAAGACATTATACGTATTTCTTTAGCAAAGGCGACACGTCATCATGGTGGAAAGCTCTTTAGACGCGGTGGAAGATAACGTTCGAGCATCTGGCGTCGTTTACCGCGAAGAAAGACGAACGGGGTGATTAAAGGAGGCCGCGGGAACCGCGCGATTTACACCGCCGGTGGAAATGCGCCGCGTTGCTGAGAGATGAAGGTGCCGGGAACACATTCGAGAGACGATAGACACCGATCGCTACGGGGAAATCGTTTGCGGTTATCTTGCCGAGAGGCCGATAACACACGTCGCCTCCCGCGTGTGTGGTTTTCTCTTCTCTCTCTCTCTTTCAATATGTATATATATATATATCTATCTCTCTCTTTCTCTTTCCGTCTATCTATCTATCTATCTATATGTTTCTCTGTCGTATCATCACGCCGAGAAGCCAGCCGCGC